CCCGGCACTCGCGGCACTGCCCAGTTCGTCCGGTTTATTTGGGTCCGAGGGACAGAGCAGGGTAGGGGGGACAGCCCACAGCCCGCGCGGAGGGACCCGAGCACACAGCGGGGACCCCGAACACCGCGGGCAGGGTCAGGTGCTGCGCTTGGTGTGGATGAGCAGCTCCCGCTGCAGGCCGGCCTCAATGGTGGTCGCCGCCCTTCCCGTGGGCAAATCAGTGATAAGGGTGAGCTTGTTGAAGACGCCGCGACCAAAGTAGTCGGCTACAACAGAGAAGCCGTCGTTGGAACACTTGAGCTGCCAGACACAAAGCAGCAGGGTCAGCAAAAGCCTCCAGACCCTCTTGCCTCCCCCATCCTGGTCCTCTCTCCCCCCACACATCCCTCAGTTATGGGCTACACTGATGGCTTAACGCAAGTGCCACGTGAACGGCTTGCTCTGCTAAAATTTTCTGCCACTGGCTGTTCCCCTTCTTGTTTCAATCCTATATTTGAGCCATTTTGGTCAGGTGAAATTCTTCCACTATGAAGGTGGTGAGACGCTGGCCCAAGTTGCCCAGAGAAGCTGTGGTTGCTCCATCCCTGGCAGTGTTGAAGGGCAGGTTGGATGGGGCTTGGAGCAACCTGGGCTGGTGGGAGGTGTCCCTGCCCATGCAGGGGGAGGAAGAAACTAGATGAACTTTGTAGTCACTTACAACACAAACCATTATATGACTCTAAGTGATCAAGAGTGAGAGCAGTTTCTCTTCCAACTTTAAGGAGCATCAAGGACCCTCTATGCCCTGTACATAATGCAGTTACCCTAGCTCCTAATGCCTCATTAATTCAGTCACAGAATCACAAAATCATCATGGTTGGAAAGGATCTTTGAGATCACAGAGTCCAACCATCACCACAAACACAACCCTAAGAACACACACCCACACAGACCCCACCAAAAAACACCCACAAAAAAAACCCACAACCTTGTTTACAAATACTTTCAGCCATACCCTTTGCTACCAGCCACTGGGAAAGAATCTAACCCCTATTTATTTATGCCTAGTAAAACAGACAACGTTACCCTACCTGATGCTGAAACTGATCATGCAGATCTCTCTTCTGCTCCTGAGCTCGGATCATGTCCATCACCTTGCGGTTTTCTGGCATGCAAGTCGGACATTCAGAATCGCTCTCGGAGTAGCTTTCAAAGCAATGCTGGTGGAAGGAATGGCCACACAGGAAGTGGACTGAAGGCAGTTCTAGGGCACTGGTACAAATGCTACACTTGGTCTTCTGAAAGATCTTGGGACTGAGAAAGCAAGAAGAGGCAAAAGGGCAAGAAAGACTAAATATATTTTTCCTTAACAAAACAGGTCTGTCCTACATAAGACAAGACAGCCCACACACCTTGCTTTTAGCTCTTCAATCTCCTGACGGATCCTTGTTGTTTCTTCTCGGTATTTTTGAATTCTCTGCTCATCCTGCTCTATCTGGCGGCTTTGCTTCTGCAGCTTGTTGACAAGATAATCTTTAATCACAGACAGTGTGGCTGTGGAGTTATGAGCCAGTGTCTGCACAACTAAGAGTAACAGAGATGTTAGTTGAAATACCAGCAAAATAACTACAGCTACACTAATCCTACCTGGACAGACCACTTCGCCATATGGGCAAACAGTATTCTTACTCAATTGAAGAGTTCATTTAAAGACTCGACTTCAGTTTTACCTCTTCCAGAAAGAGGTGACTAGGAGCACATTTGGATAGCTTAGATCAAAAGGGGCAAAGCACGGATCTAGCAGATTGAATTCCATTTCAGCTTCTCAACTAAGGCACAGCAGGAGTTTCTGCAAGCCCTTCGCTTCCCCACGCTGCCAGAACAGAAATCATGTACAGATACCTCTACAACTAATACCACAGATCTTTTTCTCTAATTAGGGAGCTGTGACTGGTGTTGCTTTTCCCTGCAGAGAAGACTATTCCTTCAAATGGTGGGCTCAAACTTTGTTGCTGTTTCTCTCAAATTTCTAATCTACATATAGCCTAGTTTGGGTTTGGGGGACTTTTTTGGGTGCCTCACGTCATTTTTACCAAGCAGCGGAGGCATAAGATTCTTGTTCTCAATGTGTTTCAGCACCGCAGCAATATACTCTTTGCAGTCCTCCTCCTTCCGGGCAAAGTAGCCGAGAGCCTGTTCCCAGAGACAAGCCTCTTGGTCTCCATACAACTCACACACCTCAATCACCTTCTTGTACTGCTCATTCTGCATGTGGTAGTGCATGATCTGTTGGAAACTACAGGAGAAAGAAACTCGTCAGCTGCAACAATCTCTCTTTGGAAGCTGCTACAGTGACCTCATGTTCTCTCTCAGCCATGCAATACCCCACTCACACAGAAGCCAAGACAAGTCTGTCATTTACCTTCTACGTAAATGCCCTGCTCTAGCAGCAAGATATTTTTATTTGAGTAACTATCTACATTTCCCATATTGATATACTAAAGAGGCAGGAACATTAAAAGCTCAAAAACCCTGAAGGGGGTGGGTGGGAAGGAACAAAAAGCAACACTCACAGTTTGCCCTGCTCATAGAGGTAGAGAACACCATCCTTGAAGTTGTGCATCTGACATAAGACCAAGGCCTTATCAAAGACTGTTTTGAACCTTCCACTCTTCAGTAGGGTGAGGGCTTCATTGTGCAGCTTCTCCTTGATCTACAGAGGAGAGGTTGGAGAGAGCAACAGACACACATTCAGAGAACATTTTGCACCAAGACCTGACAACAATTTGCAGCCCTTTCAAAAATGACAGTTTTGCCGTTTGCCCTCTTTTCCCTTAAAGCAAACAGGACATTTATTTTGCCCAAAAAGCCAGCATCCTCAGAAATCTAGGCAAGTAAAAAGAGCTACTTCTGTGGGAAAGGGATCTACTCGCAGAGGTTGTATTGTCTGCAATTTGTTCTTAAATGAGATTAATCCAAAACAAGCTCAGCATCATTAAAAGGCATAGTCTCCAAACCAGCAGGCTGCTTTCCCATTTATGTGTTGTTTGTCCAGCACAGCATACATACAGCTGCATGTTATCAATGCCCATCTGGAGAGGTAACAGGATTCAAAAACACCAAATCTCCCTCAAAACACAAAGCTGGAGGAGCTCAAACCTGCTCATCTT